AATCCTTAATGTAAAAATACACAAAGGTGAACAAAACCTGGATCATCTACACTATGGCATATGCACTGTCATCTAATCTCAACTATCTTTTGAAGCCAGTTCTTCTCCTGTATTAAGAGCATGTGAAGTTCAGGCCCTGCCAGACAGCTGTTTCACAGCCATCCACATTCCCCAAAGGCAGGGGCCAAGGTCTGGCAGTCCCCTAAGGATGCAAAGGCCCTTTACAGATAATTTAGGCCTGATTTTTAGAAAGGGACCATACAATCTGTTGGAAGGCAGTCAGTTAAGTTATATAAAGGCTAGAAGTGTTTAAACAGAGACTGAAACTTTGAGTAGAAGACTTAGGAGGTTTAGAAAGCCTGAAAGGAACTTCACTTTAGGTTGCTTAATGTGTTTTAAATAACACTTTTTGCAGATGATAGTGATGTCGTTTGATTGCTCTGTGCAGGAGGCTGCTATGGATGGTACATTTTTTAAGATCAGAATAGATTGATAAAAGGCATCAGAACCCTCCTACAAGGATGGTCCCCATGTCCCTTCTCCCTCCTAACGAGACCCTTGTGCTAAGCCATGGTCTCTGTGTGAGAACTGTGCGGTTTATTGTCATAATGCAAGAGGAAAGCCAGGAAAATGTAACAGAAGGACCAACAGTTCAGCAAGGAGCCTATCCCTTAATTCTGCAAAATACGGAGTATTCAAATTAGTAGTGTGCCTAAAGTCAAGATTATGAATTTCGTCTTTCCATGACTGGAGCATAGTTCCCATCCATCTCTTCAAGTCAATAGTCAGGCCTTTTGCTCCTTAAATCCTCCATAAAGCAGAACTATCCCGATGTAGAGAATTTATAAATACATACATGATTTTTGTTGCATTTTCTTGAGTCTTGTTTGTTGCAAATCAAAATGATGTTTTTACTAATGTATGTGGATGATGAAGTTTAAAAACAGAAGACCAAAAAGTTTATAAATATACACTGAAGGGTTTCTTAAACACAAATGCCTGGGAACACGCAATGAATTGAGATTCTTACTGAACATTCGCAGAGTTTGATGAAGCTGCCAGCTGTTACAAAAATCATTAATCCTGAAAAATATGCTCATATGAACTAAACAATCATTTCTGCATCACATACTTCTTTTGATAACTAAGATGTTGCAGAAGCACGCTGAAAAGATGCCACCAAATGAAGCTCCCACAACTTCACCGTATTGCTTCTTCACTCAGAACTATATGTGAGCAATGCTCCTCATCTCTGAAAGCAATGCTTCTCTCACACTTAAATGAGATGGTTTAGCATTTGCCCTCATTCTAAGTGTCCTGCTATTTTCCCTGAGACCACCAAAATAGGAGAGATGGCTCCTTAGTAAGAAAACTTGTGCACATCATTTTTTTTAAGCAAAGTGACATTTCAAGGTTGATGCATTTTAAAAATTAAGGGATGATAGTCCCATAAATGTTTCCAGAAGCTATTAAGTAAATACATCAAGTAACTCTATCACACACTGCTCAGAGGAATCATCTCACTCCTAAAGTCTCAGATCACCTTCATAGTATAAATTATCAGTTTCAGAATAGGAAAGTTTGTTTTCTTGACCTTTTTTGAAATTATTATTATTATTTGGTCTCTATGCTGGCATATGTACTACAATCCCAATAATTTTTCTAAGTGGAAACATACTTATGGAGTTTGTCCAGTTTTTAGGCATTTACCTAACTAGTATTCATTTTTTTCATTGCCTGGTTGGATGTTTGTTTGTTTTGTGTCCTCAGTTGTGTTAGAGTAAGTGGGAATCCCTTCATTGCCTGGTTGGATGTTTGTTTGTCCTCAGTTGTGTTAAAGTAAGTGGGAATCCTACTAAGAAGAAAAGACACTAACTACAAAAAATATTTTCAAACACTACAGAATCACAGATTATTTCTGGTAATGTCCTAAAGATGTAGACTCATGCACAAAAGCAGAATCTGCTGCTACTTTACTTCAACTTTGTCATGTTTTCTCTGAAAATGCATCCAGGTGCAACATATTAAACATCATAGCTTGCGGTTGCTGAGCAGAGATTCACTAATGCTCAGTAGCTGCAGCTTCAGAAGTCAATCCTGAAGAGAAAAGAGAGCAAGGCAAAAAGCAGGATCATAGCCTTGGACTTCAGGAGAGCAGACTTTGGAAGTATCACATGGGATACGGGCCTGGAAAAAAGAGGAGCATAGAAGAGCTTCCTGTTGATCAAAGACCATCTCGTCCAAACTCCAGAATGGCCCAATCTGACATGCAGGAAGCCAACTTCAGGAATGTCAATGAGAAAGGCTAGAGTAAGGAAGACTTGCCCTTGGTGAAGGAGGATTGGGTAAGGGAATAGGTTCACGGACTCAGACGGGATAGTCACAAGTGCTGGCGGAGTTGGCTGGTGTCATTGTAAGACCACCCTTGATTATTTTGAAAGTGGCTGCCTGGGGGAGGTTCCTGAGGGATGGAAGAGAACAAATGTCACTCCTCCCTTCAAGAAGGAGAACCCAAAGTACTTCAGGCCAGTCAGCATCACTCCAGTCCCTTGCAGAGTGATGGAGCAAATCCTCCTGGAAAATATTTCTAAACAGACAAAGGTGATGGGGTAGTCGGCATGGTTTACTGAAGAGGGAATTATACCTGAGCAACGCAATAGCTTTCTATGGTGAGATGGCTGGCTCAACAGGTGAAGGGAGAGCAGTGGATGCTGCTTATCTTGACTTTAGTTGGACTTTGGACAACATTTCCCATACCATCCTCACTGACAAACTCATGAAGTTCAATCTGGCTAGATGAAAGGGCAGTGAAGTGGGTTGAAAACCGGCTGAGCTGCCAGCCTCAAACGGCTGTGATCAATGGCACAAAGTCCAGCTAGAGGCTTGTCACTAGTGGTGCACACGAGGAGTTGATACTGGGTCCAGTCCTGTTTAAATTCTTCATTAATATCATGGCCAATGGAACAGAGAGCACCCTCAGTAAGTTTCCATATGATACAAAACCAGGAGTGAACATCATTTCTGCATATTTCTTCAATCATTTTGTAGGACGAGCAGGTCTCATGTAGTAAGCAGCTATTCAGCATTCTCTGTTCCCATATTTGTTCCATAGGCAGGCCTAAAGCGTATTTACTCTCTTTTACTATGCAAACCTTACTTATATATATTTTTTAACTCAGAAGCTTTCTGCAGTCTTCATTTTTGCATTGTTCAAAATCTTCAAATTTTCAATTTTTGCAATAGTCATTTGAGGTGAGGAAATGTCAAGTAAGAAGAAAAGACTTTAATGCTATAAGAATTACTCAGTTTGGGGCATACAATGCGAGGTGCCAGAGATTTGTTATTTCTGTTTTTAGTATAAAAATGTTTTTCCTTTTAACTTCACTCATAAATGAGAGTGCTCTGCAGTTCAGCATTTAGGCAGTATGGTCTTGTACCGGACATTTAGAAAAGAATAATTATACAGCTATTGACTTCCTGCAGAAATTGGTTTAAATTACTTCTTTAGGATTGCACATGCAAGGAGGAATAAAGCCTACATGGGAGAAGTCATGTTAGAATCCAAGTCTCCAAGGCAGCTTTTAGCCATCTTAAGAGAGGCAGATTTTAATCTCTGTTGTTGTTTCCACAACCTGTGACAAACAAAGTCTCAAGCACAGAGAAAATAGCCTTCATTACACAGTTCTGCCTGCTTTCAGGGCAAACACAGCCTTTTCTCTAAATGAGACTCTGCAGAGCAAAATGGCATGTAATCATACAGATAAAGACAGTATCATAGTATATACTGACAAGGAAAGAAATAAATTACAGCTGCACATCAGTCTTAATTACAATATCTCCTAGGCCTTTGAGTTCTGTAGGGTATTTTCACTGCAATATGTAGGTCGTTGATGACAGCCAAGGACATTGCAGTGAAGAAGACACAGACTCATTTTATATAGACCAGCAGAGGTTCTTTATGCAGATTTTTGTACATTTTTATTGTTGGCACTATATATTTACTTTCAACTTTTCTTCCATTAGATCCTCCCATCCTCTCCTGAAAAAAAAAAAAAAGATAGATGAAACTGAAGTGAGAAGTGGACTGTGCCCATGTATTTTTGCTCCTTCTTTGACTGTATTATGACTTCTGGCATCCTAACTATTTCAAGCTTAGCTAGATGTCTCTTTTTATACGTTAGTCTTTCTCTTTTTTCTTGATTTTTTCTTGAGTCTATTCTAAGGACTCTCATTTTTGCTTGTTACTTTGTTATGTTTGCACTTTCATTATGTTTCTTTCTTATTTATTTATTTATTATGTAGCTTCCTCAGCTTGGCCCATCTTTCTTCTCTTCATCCTGCAGAATCCCTGACTATTTCCTTCCGTTCTTCTTACTGTTGTCTCTATCCAAATTGTTTCCTAGATTTTTTTCTCTGCTTCTCTCTGTTCTTTCTCATTACTCTGTCCACAGCTGCCCACAGCTGCCTACTGTTCTTTGCATTCCCTTTCCTCTTGGATGCCTAAGAAGAATGTAGTGTTACCATTTCCATACATGGAAAAAAGTCTTTGTATTCTGGACTCTAAGCAAGCCTACAGCCCTGTTCCCACAAACACACTTTCCTCTTTCTGGTCATTTCCCTCCCTGCTCACCCACTGTCTTCCCTCCTCAGCACCTTGCTCCCCTTTGGGTCCTTGGATATACCCTGACAAACCTCACTGCTGAGAGGCAGCGACTCCTGGTGTAGGACTGCCCTGCTGAAGATGGCAAGGAGCATGAGAGAGGAAAATTAGGACAAGACACCAACAGAAAGCCCCAAGAACAAGAAATCCCTTCTTCCAGGAAGAGGCATAACTTGATATGGACAGAGCAGGAAGGAAGCAACTGTTTTCCAAGTTTTGGGTCTAATTCTTTCAGGGCTGGTGAATGAAGTCAAGAACAGTACCTGGGATGGTGGGCACCTGCAGCACGGGGACACATGGGCTTCTCTCTGCTGTGGCTGCTGCTCTGGTAAGACCTCACCAGGGCAGCAAGGTGCCACCACGGCGGGGACTTGCTGAGCTCGTCTCCCAGTGGCATCGCGCTGAGCACAGGGCGTCATTTGCTGCCTCCTTAGGAGCGCTCTGCAGCACCATGGGTTTATTTAAAGCTTTAAGCAATGCCAGAATTCAAGCAATTCTGCAGAATAACATGATTTTTTCCAGCCCTGCTCCTGCCTGGGCTGGAAGGACCATAATCGAGACTCCTTAAACATGGAAGACACGTGGATACTACACAGCTCAAGCTCATGTTACCTCCACGAGACAATTCAGCTTCATCTATTGCAGAAGGGTGGGTTTTTGTTGTTGTTGTTGTTGTTGTTTTTCATCAGAAGACCCCTGCTTCCCCCACTTCCCACCCCAACCTTTGAGGCAGGACATCTTTTTTTTTTTTTTTTTAAGTATTTTCCCTCCAACTCTGGTTCATCATTACTGCTTTTCCTCTGGACTTGCAGCTGCGGCCCTATATAGGGCGAGGCATTTAGTAAGTTAGAAAGCCGGGAAGAGCTTGCAGGCCTCGGCGTGTTGCTTTACGCTCTGGGGCTCAGAGCGACCGTGAGAGGAATATTTTAAAAATATATAAAATTAAAAAAAAAATAAAAAAGGAAGGAAATGTCCCAGAAACCCAGAGAGAGGCTGGTTCGGAGACGCGGGAGAGCGAGGAAGGCGCTCGCTACCTCCCCGGCT